TTTTGATTTATTGTAGAGATGAGGTCTTGCCAAGTTGCCCAGGCTGGTCTTGAACTCGTGGGCTCAGGCAATCCCCTCACTTTGGCCTCCCAAAGTGCTGGGATTACAGGCTTGAGCCATTGCGCTGGGCCAATGGTGGAACTTTATGGGGGGAGGGGTGGCACAGGAGAGAGGGATCGAGACTGCCAGGACAGGTTAAACATCCCTTATCTGAAATGCTTGGGAACAAAGGTGTTTCAGATTTTGGATTTTTTCAGATTTTGGAATATTTGCAATCTATTGGTTGAGCATTCGAAATCTGAAAACCCAAAATCTGAAATACCCCAACGAGCATTTCCTGTGAGCATCAAGTCGGTGCGCAAAAAGTTTTAGAATCTGGAGCTTTGTGACTTAGGATATTCAACGTGTATACACATGTTATTAAAAAATTTGGAGGAAATACCAGGAAAAAAATAGCTGAATGTCATTGCAATAATAGGTCTCTAGGGAATGGGTCACAGTAGAACCAGAGGACTGTTATACTAAAATTATAAAGCCCTGTAACACTATTTCATGTTTTAAAAAGCATATACGCACTGATTTGATACAAATAATTTAAACTTCTATTTATTGAGTCCCAGTGTCCCTAGCACTTTGCTAAGCATTTTGATTGCCTAGTTCATGAAATTCTCCTAACAATATACAGCCGGTCCTATCATTACGCTTATTTTGCTTATAAAGAAACAGATCAAAAGTTAAACTGCCCAAGGTTAACTGGCTAGTAAGTGGCAGAGCTGAAGTCTAGTCGGACAGAGTCTATGTCTCACCCCGATGATGGAAGGCGGCCTAGAAGTCAGATAACAGCAATATGTAAGGAGGGAGATTTGGAGGTGACTTGGACAGGAGTGAGTCACTTACAATGGCTGAGGGGAGGGGATGGTAAGTTAGGAGAGGATTTTGAGAAGAATGCCCAAGTTGCTGGCTTGGGTACCTGAGGACAAGCTGGTCCCTTTTCTACTATGAGGGTCTATGAGGAGGGGAGCAGAGACTTCCATCTCTGAGAGTTCACAAACTCCATCATAAACACGTGGAAACTTTGGGTATCTGTGGGCCACTTGTAGGCCAGGCCCTGCGGTGAGTGGAATCTCCACATCTGGAGCTTAAGAGACAGCTGGATGCTCCTGAGCAAAACTCACCCACATGCAGATTAGTGACTGTCAGCCATTTTTATACCCAGCACACTTGGTAAGTTCTGGTGACTCCTGATTGAAACGAACTAGTGACCAGAGCTCACTACAATGGTAATTTTAATGGGAACTTGCCTTGTATCATGTTGGGGAGAGGAGTTCTCAGAATACTAGAGGAGGGAACAGAGGCATGTATAAGTCTGAAAAAAACCTCAGCTTTGAAAATTCCCGCTATGGGCGCCATCTGATTTACTGGACATAAACTAGGTCATTATGCAAGAGTAGACAAAATGCAATGGGAAAGAGTCAAAACTCTGGGAACTGGGCATATAAAGGGATAAGGAGACTGAAGGAGGCCGAAGTCAAGTACCTGTGGAGGTAAGATTAGCAAGGGGACATGGGGGGCAGGGGAGGCAAGAAGTCCGGGCAATTCATATCTGGGAGCTCCCAGTGCTTCCAACTGGCCCATCTGTTTACATTCTTGCCTGGCTTGGAGTCTGTAACTTTTAGAGGCTTTACTAGTGTACTTGAGTGTTGACACATGAACAGGAATTTGTGAAGGGGACAAGGAAGAGATAGGGCCTCCAGAGAGAACAGCATGTACGAAACATGAAGGTGTGGAAAGGGTATTGGTTGCTGCATGTTGCGGGGAGGTGAGCAAGGAGGGCACAAGAAGGCAGATGGGAGAGGGACTGGGTTCAACTTGGGAAAGGTCCCCTCAGCCATGGTCTCAACTGAGGGAATCAAACTTGTCTTTAGAGATCAAGTAGCAACAGTGAGGAGAACTGACTGGAAGTGGCAGAGCCGAGTGATGGGGCTGTTGGTTGTGAAACTGGCTTCACAGTTCTGGTGAGACAGGATAAAGGCTCAGCTGTGAAGATGGGAAAGAGGGCCTAGGTCCCACCTCTAGGGTGGAACAGACAAAAATGGATTTTGGGAGTGGCTGAGAGGGTAGAGAGGGATGTAATCAGAGCATGTGAAGACAGCACCACTGCAAACCACTAACATTCCCAGCATACTTTCTGTGCCCATTTTATGTACCTGGTCACAGAATTCTCCCATCAACCCTACAGGTAGGCAGGACTATGACTACCCTGACCTCAACAGAGTGGCTCAGTCACTTGCACAGATGATCTCCCAGCTAGCACATGGTCAAGCCCTAAGTTAAATCCCGGGCAGGCAGGGTCTTCAGGGCACATGCTCTTCCCCATGATGTGACACAGGGGACCATTAGGGAAGAACACGAATATAGAAGTGAGGCATTCAGGACTGGAGGAAGGACAGAGAACGAGTTTTGTGGGGACCTAGATTCCCATCAGGGGTTGTAGGTATAGGCCCAGGTCACACTGTGCAGTTGAAGACAAGCGATGGGGAGGGAGGTGAGCACTAATGGGGAGTGCAGGGAGCCAGGACACAGCTTGGGGAGGACTAATATTTATCAAATAAGCAGGAGGGAGGCTGGGAGCCAATAGTGAAGAAGCACGGTCTCAGAAGGAGGAGGGGTGCTGGGGAAGACAGAGGAATCTCATTCTAAGAAGTCAGGGATGCATCCTGCAGTCAGTGATGCCAACTCCTCCCCTCATGTCTGGGGCCCTGTGGCCTGGTCCCTGCTGCCTCATCAGCCTCCCTGGCCACCACTCCTCTTCCTGTTGAATGCTCCAACTACTCCTCCTCCGACCTGCCTACCCCCAACCCTTTGCCCCCGCATCACAGTCCCTGCTGCCCCCGATGCCAGTTGTAGTTCTTTTCTGCTCACCACCTCTCATCACCACCACCTAGTTCACTCCTTTTCAAAACCTTGTTTTCCTAAACTTCTAACTGAAGTCTGATCCACTCATCTTCCATTATTTAACAGTCAGTGTCAAGTGCTTCACACTCCACTGGTTTCTGCAGGAATCAGTGATCCCTGTAGACCCAGGCCAGGCCCTGCCACCTGCTTTCACAGCACTCCATATTTCTCCTTGTAGCACAGAGAAGGGTTGACTAAATCATTTCCCATACATTAGTTATCATGTACTTCCTCCTTGTAGGTAAGGCTTATGAGGGCAGGGCAAGAACTAAGTTCGTTTCAATCAGGAGTCAGCAAACTTGTTCTGAAAAGTGCCAAACAATAAATGTTTTGGGGTTTGTGAGCCACAGTGTCTTAGCTGCAATGATTGAACTCTGTCACTATGGCCTGAAAGCAGCAAAGACAACATGTACACAAATGGGTGTGACTGTTTCCTTCATTTATAAAAACAGGAGACCAGTCAAAGGGCCAGATGGTTGCTGACCACTAGTCTAAACACCAGCACCTGGTCCAGCAACTGCCACACGGCAGGCATTCTAAGAATAAATAAAACTACAAAAATAAGTCTTGGGCTATTAGATGGGAACGAGAATCAAGGGACGGTGGTTTTAGTGGCATAGTGGAGTGGTACTAAGAAGACAGGGTGGAGGAATGAGTCACAGTGAGGAAGTGGCAATTTCTCTTTCGGGAGTTCCATGATTTGAGCAGCAGGTCGGGAATGACACTGTTGCCAAGACTCTTGGTAAAGACAGTGGACTATAGGATTTGAAACCACAAGCATTGGTATATTGGGGGCCACTGGCAAACAGGAAACAGTGGCGGCTGTGGACAGGGCCACAGGCTTCACCAAGAGCCATGACACCTTAGCTTTCATTTTTCTTTCTCCTCATTTGACAGAACACTTCTAGTCAAGGAGATGTCTGGGTAACTTGTGGGTTCTGGGTTTTCAGCTCTGACTCAGTGTGAAATATGTCACTCATTGAATCATCAGCGCTGCTTGCTGTCACTTCCTATTCATTCACTTTCCCATGCAGGTAGTGACAGGCAGGCTCTGAGGAGGGTGTAGTCACATTTTAAACGTGGACATAACAAGTTCCTTCTTGAACTAAAGTGCTTTAATTACAGTAAGTTATTGGTGAATTTCATCCCCATGCCTTCAAATGTGTAGGAAACCCACGGAGCTTAAGTAGGCAGATAAAAATATTAGCACATAAACTGACAACAGGAGCTTATAATCTGTCAGGGGAAGATTTTATGGCAGTTTCTCTAGTGGGCTAAAAGATATTTCTCTATTCACAGAGAATGATCTGCATGGAACACAAAGGACAATTTTATACTGAATAATATAGAATTTATCTTTAAATGTTGGAAACCATTTGACTGGGGGCTTGACGATAAAAACAGAGCATAGCAGCTATTTAGTTTACTAGCCTACCATAGCATTAAAACGTAGAAAACACAACTTCTCCAGTAGAGAAAGTATCAGTATTGTGATGTTGAAATAATCTGAAAAGTTCTCTTACAGAGTCAAAAACTTATAGACAATCAACTTCACTTATCCAAAGAAGCAGAGAACTGAAAAAATCTTTACCTTTCAATATTAATTAATTCATTAATACCAGTACAGGAATGTGTAAGTAGAGTGCTGATCTTAATCCTACTATTTTTCATTTCATGAAATGACTAAGGCCATTTAAACATCTTTTAGTTGAAATACCAGGACCTGGTTTCATCTGCCTTCTTTCACAGTATAACTGCCGTTGATCTTTATAGACTGAAGCTTCTGTCTATACTAATAATACATAAAACTCTAATAATTCATATTTTCATTTTGAAGTTTTCATTCCCTACAAGTCTGAAGATAATTTTCCTAAAATACACGAATCCTCACTCTTACAAATCTTTCCCTCCAAGAGGAAATGGGAATCAACAACTCAGAATTCACTGCGTGTAAAACGACAGGGCCAATACCTGTAACACACGTTTTATTTGGAAGGACTTTCGATGAACTTTTAGATATATGTTAAATCAACTTAATCTCTTACCCTATTGTTGGGTTGATGTTCGGATCAAAACTGTCTTCCACAAACCGCCATACAATACTCGATTTACCAACACCTGTATCCTGAAAGAGAATGAGATGAGTGACTCAGAAAAAGTTTACCTGCTTGCAGACCCTGAAAACTACCTTGTGACACAAGTTCAGGATTTTAGAAAAACCACCTTAGAAGCGTAAATTTTATAAATTGAGGAACACAAAAGGGGTTTTCATAAAAATTCAGTGGAATAATCAGGAGATTATAACTGTATTAAAGGGGAGAGGTTTTCCAGTTTCTAAGACACATGGTAGGACTTTTTGAAAGACCCAAAGTTTCTGCTTCGTGTGAAGTGACAAGCCTGCTACTTTTCAGCATGTATTAGTGAACTCTGAACTCCTAAAGAACCTCTGAGTAATCCCCGATGAATCCTAGCCCCACCCGATTTGGGGAGCTAAGAAGCATCCTTTCCAATCTTTAAGGCAGACACTCAGGAAAGAACACCAACCTCAGAAAGAAGGCTCTGAAACGGCCAAGTTGCCCTGACAGCACAGGAAGCTGAAGCTTCCAACCAGTCCCTGGGGCTTCCTGACTGGAACATCCCTTTTGTCCACAGGAAGAGTTACGGTGCCAAGTGGTCCTTTGAGAAGTGGCAGGGGCATCCCACAAGTTCAAAACACCCACAGTCAGAAAGGAGGCCATTGCTGCTTGCAAAACCTCAAGACCTGGTCCTGGTTTTACTTGGGAAGGCTCGGCCACTTCCCAATTAGTAGATGAGTCGACTGGGAAGAAGCGACCTAGGACTTGCTTTGAACCCAGAGGCAGTGGAGAGGCAGGGAGGACTGTCTGCTCTTTGGGGGACGGGAGGAGTCCATAGGCTCCGGGGAGGGGAAAGGGCAGGGGCTCGCGACCTTCAGGACCGTCAGGAGGGCGCAGCCAGATGGGCGGGACGGCTCCGGGGCTCAGGGAGAGTCGGCGGCGCCTGAACGGGGGCGGGGAAAGGAGTGGGGCACACTGGGGGACTCCGGGGTTCCCGCCCGCGGCCCTCCCGGCCAGACCCGCCGCCACTCACCCCCAGCAGACACACTTTGAGCTCCCTCAGCGCCATGGCCCGGGAGCCAGGGGCGCGGGCCAGCCGCCGCCCTAAGTTGAGGAGGGAGAGGCCCGGCCCAGCACCAACATCCCCCGGCGCCGCCGCCGCCGCACGGCCCAGCCCCGGCTGCGGGGCGCGCAGAGGCGGCAGCTGCTCGTCCTCCGGCCTCCGGCCCGTCCCGTCAGCTGCCAGCCGCTTGGGGCCCACCTCAGCAGCCGGGACGCCGCCACAGCCTTCCGGGAGTCACCACCGCCGCCATCTTGGGACGCCGGCCGGGTCACCTGACCTCCCCGCCCACCTCGGCAGCCACCTTCGCTGCGAGGGCGGGGCCGGCCGGCGCGGGCCGGGGGCGGGGCCTGAGGCAAGCGACTCCGCTCCTGTCCGCAGGCCCCGCCCCCTCAGGCTCGTCCCAAGATGGCGGGGGAGGGGGGATGGGCTCCCGGGATGCCGGGGCGACGCCCCTCCCCCTTGCCCCATGACCTCCCGGGAGGTCGGGGGAACCCCTGTCCGCGCCGGACCGCTCTTGCGGCAGCCGCCTAGTAACTCTTTGTGTGTCTCTTGGTTTTCAGAGATGCCCCTGTACTTTGTGGACTTACAGGATGACTTAGACGATTGTAAGTAACAGTTGGGGCGCCCTCTCTCCTCTGGGACCTTCTCGGAGTTTGGGGTGCGCAGGGCAGGGAAACCACAACCCAGGCTCTCCACGTCGGGACCAGAACTGCAGGACCCCAAACTGCCTTGATCCACTGTGGTGGTCCCTCCACCGTGGGACTGAAGACTGGAGCTCTTCCCTGTGCGGGGAAGGATTTTTGTGGTTGTTGGAAAGTTTTTTACTTCTTGTCACTCACTTTCTTTTTTCCTCCTCCTCCTTCTCCAGCTGCCCGGGGAGGGGCGGAAGGGGTACTCCCAAGTCCCGGGGCTGTACGAGGACACGCCTCCTTGGAGATGGGTGACTTCCACCTCTGGGCCTCGCCCTTTTCCTGGGAATCTTGAGTGCTGGGAAGTTTCGGATGTTGGGTGCCGGAATTGTGGGACTTCTCAAGAGTCTTGATCATGAGCCCAGCTTCATCTCTTAGTCCAAGGAGGCCATTGGCCCCCGCGTTTATGGGGTGTGTCTCTTTAACTTGTCCCTTCCTACTCTCTTTTCTTTGGAATCGTTTTAAGTGATGGCTGGGAGAGATGTCTTCTTGGAAATCCAAGTTCGCATTGGTAGTGAATTAAGCATTTCCTCTCCATCTGCCACACTTCTTGAGCAGCTACTCGTTCTGGGGTAGGCCATGTGTCAGTGTCTATACCTGCAAGATGAATTAGAAACAGCCACCACTCTCAAGGAACTCACAGGCTCTGGGGGAGAGCACACTTGTAAACAGAAAATTACCTAACCTGGGATGCTTGCTGGTGAAGAAACCCTGTACCAGTCATCAAAACAGCTATCATTAATTGTGGTCTTAACTGTGATCCAGTCATATAGCATACAGCCCTTCCTCTTGTCTCTTCCACCTCTTAATAGAATTGGTGTTCACTGAAAACTTGCATAGACCAGGCAGTGTTAAACCCTTTATACACATTAACTCTTTTAGAGGGGGCAGTTTGCTTAAGGCAGCATGACACTTGAAGGGTCAAACAAGCTGATGGTTAAGAGCTTGGTTTCTGGAGTCAGGTGGCCAGGAGTGAAATCCTGTGCCACTATTTACTAGCATTGTGATCCTGGGCAAGTCACTGTACCACTCTAAGCCTCAGTAACCTCATCTGTAAAATGGGCATTATAGTGGTCCACCTCAAAAGACTTTTGTGAGAGTTAAATGAACAAAGGGTTTAGTACGAAGCCTTGTAGGTGATAAAACTCAGTAAATATTGGCTACTATTATTATTATTAATATGATTATTATTAACATTTATTTAATACTGTTAAGCCTGGTAGAGTGCAGACCCAGGTTTATGGAGCTGAAATGTTTCAGCCAATAGGCATCCTCAGATTGAATGAATGTACCATTTCTTCTTTTTTTTGAGTTGGAATCTCACTCCGTCACCCAGGCTGGAGTGAGACTCCACGCTCACGGCCACCCCAGCGTCGACCTGCTGGGCTCTGGCGATCCTTCCGCCTCAGCCTTCCAAGTAGTCAGAACTATAGGCACACGCTACCATGCCCGGCTAATTTTTTGATTTATTTCAGAGATGAGGTCTCACCATGTTGCCCAGACTGGTCTCAAAATCAGGCAACTATTTTGCCTCAACCTCCCAATGTGCTGGGATTACAGACTTGAGCCACCACACCTGGCCAGGAATGTACCATTTCTATTGATAATCAATATTGAGCTGCCATGAAAATGCCTTTATTCACAGATTTGATATTTGGTGTGACTGGAAAGCTGATTTCTAGCCGTTTCAGTTAGATAACTACACCAAAACTCAGTGGCTTAAACCAACAGCATTTGATGTCTCATAGTCCTGTGGGTTGACTGGACTGTGGGTTGACTTCTGCTTAATGTGGTCTCAGGTGGGAAAAAATGAAATGATGTTACTCCTGTGGGTGGCACAGGTTCTCCTTGTTTGCTGGGAGATTTGCCAGGACTGTTGGCCAGGGCTTCGGTTCTCCAGCCTTTTCACTTGGTGTCATTGGCCTTCTCAAAGTGTGATGCCACAGGGTGGTTGCATCTCTTTTGTAGCAGCTAGCTTCCTTCAGTGGGTTTTTTTTTTTTTGTTTGTATATATACAAAAGGTAAGTAAGATATTACATAGAAAAAATTTGCTTTTATTTTGGCCCTATTCAAATAAATATTAGGTGTTTGGGATGTGTAATAAAGGCTTAACTGCTCTTTAGCAGACAGTGGGAAAGTTGCCCCAATAAGGAAGGAAACTACCTTATGGCTCTCAACATAACCACACCATGGGTGGGACAACTCTGGGAATCTCCTGGGGCTTCCTCTTTGGTCAGAGGTGGGAGCTGTAGGGTGCTTTACCTTATGAGTTTATTGTGTAGTTGATCTAATAACTGTAATAGGACCTACCTCCCCCCTGCCAATTTATGCTACCCTGGGTCATACTCCTGCACCTCACCGTGGTAGTATTGGGAGGCATTCTCTGTGATTGACAGCAAGAGTCCTGAAGTCCTGTCACCTACATTTTGGCTCCCTCCTATCTGTAGCTGTGTTAGTTTAAGTGGCTCATATACCCATTCTGTACAACTTCCTTGTCTAGAAAATGGCATAAGAATAGGAGCTGCCTCATAGGACTGGTGTGAGAGGTAGATGAGATAGTACACATAAAACATTTTAGCCCAGTGCCTGGCAAAATTAGTATTAGATTCAATGGTTTTACCATCATCATCATTATTGCTGGGTTTTCACATAAGATCTTATGATTCATTGTTAACAGCTGCTACTCACTGAAGTTGGTGGGATTATTCCTATTTTACAAATGATAAAACTGGGAATCAGGTTGAGCAACTTATCTAGTGTGGCACAGTTCATGAATGGTAGAATTAATAAATACTGTTCCTTCTGACTCTTTTTATTCCACCATGCTGCTCGACCTCACAAATATTCTTAGCCCAGTGGCTGGGCACAGATATCGGTTAGGGTACTCCTGTGTCTGTTGTCCTCCTTGGGTATTTTTTTCCTAAATGACAGGATATCTCTCCTTTGGACTGTAGGTCTCTTTTGCCATCCTTTTTATAACCCAATGTCCTGCATGATCCAGTTGCTCAATTAATGTTGTTACTGTTAACGATAATGGATTACTGATTTACTTTGTGATTCTTGATTATGTTTGGTTAATTTTAAAAGGAAGCCATAATGAATGGATATCTTTTTTTAAGTCATTCAGAGTCTTCAGGCCATCATAGCACAGAAGGAATTTAATTTTAGAGAACTGGCTTGCTGAAGCAGTCTAAATTCTTTCTCTTGAGAGCAGAAAGTATGTGGGATGGGCTGGCCTGGCATATTGGTTGTCATGTTGAACTGCACATAGAAGGTGAAACTGTAATGAGTCTATGCCTAAGGATCTAAAGCAGGGGTCCTCAACCCCGGGACCAGTATCCAGTTCGTGGCCTGTTAGGAACCCGACCACAGAGCAGGAGGTGGCAGCGGTCAAGTGAAGTTCCATCTTCTGTCAGATCAGCAGTGGCATTAGGTTCTTATGGGAGTGGGTACCCTATTGTGAACTGCCTGTGGAAGGGATCTAGGTTGTGTGCGCCTTATGAGATTCTAATGCCTGATGACTTGAGGTGGAGCTGAGGTGGTGATGCTAGTGCTGGGGTGTGGCTGAAAGTACAGATTAACATTAGCAGTGAGGTTTGACTGCCCATTCTCCCCCACTTCCCCTGGTCTGTGGAAAAATTGTCTTCCATGAAACCAGTCCCTGATGCCAGAAAGGTTGTGGACTGCTGGGCTTGCTTATAGCATATGGAGGCTGGAGAGACGTTACTGTTGGTAAGGTTTGCTTGGCCAATTAGAATTCAAATGTATGCCACTGATGGATGAAAAGAAAAAAACTGAGAGTATTGCAGATATAAAGAGACCTATCAACAAAATATGGTATGTGGTCATATTTGGATTCCTTAGTTGAATAAACCAACTATAAAAGACATTATTGAGGCAGGAAAATTGAACTTGGACTGGGTATTAGATGATATTAAGAATGATTATTAATTTTGTCGAATGTGATAATGTCATCATGGTTTTGCTCAAAGGAAAAGGACCTCATTTAACAAATAAGCACTCATGGGTGAAGTGATTTGATGTGTGAAGTCTGCTTGCAGCTGCTTCAATAAACCATAAACAGTCAGGAGGAGAGATAGATGGGTAAATGGTAGAATGTTGATATTTGTTGAAACTAGTTGATGGGGACTATTCTATTTTTGCATATGTTTGAAAATTTCCAGAGTAAAAAGGTATAAAAAAGTGAAATGAAAGTGTCACATGTGACTGGGCGCGGTGGCTCATGCCTATAATCCCAGCACTTTGGGAGGCCGAGGTGAGAGGATTGCCTGAGCCCACCGGTTCGAGACCAGCCTGGGCAACTTGGTGAGACCTCATCTCTACAATAAATCAAAAAATTAGGCTGGGCTTGGTGACTCAGCCTGTAATCTCAGCACTTTGAGAGACTGAGGCAAGTGGATTGTCTGAGCCCATGGGTTTGAGACCAGCCCAGGCAACTTGGCAAGACCTCATCTCTACAATAAATCAAAAATTGGTCAGGTGTGGTAGCATGCACCTGTAGTTCCAGCTACTTGAAAGGCTGAGGAGGAAGGTTTGCCGGAGCCCAGCACGTCAACGCTGGGGTGGCTGTGAGTATTCCACCGCACTCCAGCCTGAGTGGAATAAGACTTCAACTCAAAAAAAAAAAAAAAATTAGCTGGGTTCGGTAGTGCACACCTGAGGTTCTAGCTACTTGGAAGGCTGAGGCAGAAGGATCGCCAGAGCCCAGCAGGTCAACGCTGTGGCGGCCGTGAGTATGCCACTGCACTCCAGCTTGGGCGACAGAGTGAAACTCCAATTAAAAAAAAAAGTGTCACATATGACAGACATCTGCAGGAAGGGTTGAAAGACTGGATTTCAATTATAAAGTTACTGCAAAGTTATTGTAAGATGCATTTAGCTTCAAAAGACTGACT